TTATTCCCGGTTTTTTTTTTTTTATTTTTTTTTTTTTAACGTGAGAATGATACTAATTCGGCGCGATAGTGGAAAATGAGGTTGCTCTGCCAGGCAGAACCTTTTTTTTTTTTTTTTTTTTTTTTTTTGCAGGGCATATGAGGAGGGAGATAAAACTTACTTTCCTCCTCGATCTGGCAGTGGCTATCGTCTTAGTGATTCCTTGTTACGGATAGCGACGGGTATGATCGAATGTGACATGGTCCTCCCTTCATTCCTTTCTCTGCTTTCCTACTAAAAAAAATAATTAAAAGCGTGTATTTAGTTTTGCACGTTGCTAGTATAGTGTCGAGAAATTATGATAATCTGTCATGCTGAGTTAGTAGGGAGAGATTGTGCAGAGTAATTAGGATGACAGGGGGGGGAGGAGAAGTGGAGAGGTACTATGGCCTTATTGGGAAGAAATGATTGCGCTGTGACCGGGGGGGAAGTAATCCCGGAGAGGTTATGATTGTTGCTCCCGCGGATCCTCCTTTGTATTATGAGATGTTTCCCTTCCTTGTTTTGCTGGCCCCTCTGAGCTTCTGCTTCCTCTCTTAATGCCTTCTTATCCTTCCTCGTTCCCTCACCTGTCACTTCCATTTCCCTTTATCTTCCCTCTCTTTCTTCTCTTTCCCATTTATATATTTTCTCTTTCTTTCCTTTTTTTTTTTTTTTTTTTTTTTTTTTAGAATGATAGATCCGATGCTTTCTTGAGAGAGGTCATTAAGATGATTTTGGTTTGGTCATAGGAGATTCAGTATGATCAAGGGCTGACCGAATAATCTAGTGAACTCATCGGGTAAAGAGGTGATTGTTCGGTCAGTCCATTGATCAGGTGATGAGAAATCCTTGCGTTTCAAGAGTGGTATATTTCTGTTTTGGGAGGAGTGGGGTGATTAGGCGGGGGAGTTGTAGATGCGCGACATCAATGCCAAAAAAGCGAGTAATCCAATTATAAGTTTGAACAACATTCTAAGTGGTGAAGGCGTTGTGATGATAGTACGAACAAATGATTAATAAGCAGCAAACACAAATGAAAAGACAATTATACAATCATACTGAGTTATTTGGGTCATTGATGCAACTCAAGAAGTAATTAAAGATTAACATCTCTAATAGGTCCTTATTTCTAAACAAAGTCTTTTAAGTCTGACGACCTTCTTGACAAGGGTCAACAAATTATTAAAATATTACAAAACAACTACTGATATTACAATCAAATGGTTACAACTGACAGAGCAATTATACATTCTTACTGAGTTGCTTTGGTCATTTGAAGATCTATAACTAATTAATGATTACCAAGTCGAAAAAACTCTTTTAGTTCTAAGCAAAGTCCCTTAAGTCTGGTAACTTCTTTGACAAGGGACAACAAGTTATTAGACATTACAACAACTGCTTTACTGCTCAGTTGAAAATCCAATGAGTGATACAACTTGTCACTTCAGAATCCTTGAAATTAGAGTCCATTCAGCGAATAGGGGAAATAAAAGATGCGGTGTAGGGTTTGAACTTGAAGAAAAGTAAGAAATACAGAAAGAGGATAAGGAGAAAGAGAATGAAGATAGAGATGAGGAAGAAGAAGTCCAGAGATTTGAAGGAGCCCTGTTTTCTTTTGGGTCTGCTAATCCGTGGAGGGATGAGCTGAAGTGGTGGTGACGGCGGTGCAGGTGTCGGTCGAGGTACGATTAGAAGTTGCTGCACAGGGATTGGCCGTCCTGGGGAGTTCCGCTCGTCATCGAGGTCGATTGACCTACGACGACGGCTTCTTGAAGACGAAGGGAGATCAGACTTCTTCCTCGGCGGCATCTTGCTCCGGAATGTTGATGAAGGAGAAGTCGTGCCGATCGTCCTTGAATCTGATGGAGAGGCATGGAACAGTGGGTTGTGAGGGTCTCGGTGGCTCTGAAGGCTGGTCCGGTGCAGGGAGATACTGGTGCTCTTGCCCACAAGTTGTGTCTCTCAGAAGTCTGAACAACGAAACAGGTCCTGAAACAATGAGATTGTGAAGGCGCAGATGGTAGAAATCGCTCTTCCGGAGACGCTTGAAGAATCCGTGGAAGAAGAAGGTAATAGGACAGGAGAACCCCGACTGCGTGCCAATTGAGGGGAGGTTCTCAGTGAGGGTTAGCAGGCAGCTGTTGACCCAGCACTTTACAGGATGCTCAGTGTCGTTGGCAAGACAAATACCAAAATAATAGAAGGGGATCTTGAGATCGTGAGCGTGCTGACGCTTGTAGATAGCTAGTTGTTGCGCTGCTTGGTTTCGCTCCAGTTCCGTGAGGAAGTTAAAACAGCGATTGCCGACAAAGAGGAGTGAAGATATGACGAGAGAGTAGAAAGAATGGGAGAAGAGTTCTAAGGCCTGATCACGAAGAAGAAAGAAGTAGGAGTGAGCGCCGTTCTGGAAGGTGCAGAATGAATTGCACTCTACATATTCCATAATTCCAGTAAGTGACTGAGAAGAGGATAGGTATTGAACCTCTTTTGTACAAAGAATCATTGGAGGTTGACTACAAAGGGAGGTAAGATGGTGTGACACTGGGAAGGTCAAAGAGGTGGAGAGGGAGGAGAGATGCTGAGGGAGGATCAAGGACGAAAATTCTTCTCACGACCTCTTCTGCTGAAACCAGTGGGGGGAAGATTATGCCAGAGAGGGGGGTGATCATGTGGGTAAAAACTTCAACTAAATCTTTTTTGGGTATAGAAAAATCAGATTTGAGGGTAATTTTAGAGGGAAAGTAGATAAGTAGGAAAGGGTCGAAAATGAGGGGTTAAGGAGGGGGTGAAGAGTTCGGGTTGAGAGAGGTAGAGGGCGGGGCAGGATGGGAAGAAGGAGGGGTGGCTAGGTTGATAGGGCGATGGCCGGCATGACAGGCAGAAGTAAACATGATGAGGGGTGTGACAGAGACTGGTGGAACGGTACTTCTCACCGTAAGAGAGAGGGCAGGGTGACCGTGACAACAACTGACACCCATGGACCACTGAATGTGACGACGACTGACCGATGACCGATGACTGACTGTAGGCAGACAACAGTAGGCCTGTAGACTGGAGTGCAGTCCTCAGCCAAAAGACGAGGAGAATCGACTCACACTCCGAAGGACCTGACCCCTTGTGTGCCCGCGCAGGTTCGCATATGTGATGGGTGCTACGGGCGGACGCAACCTAGAGGGCGCAGCACGGGAGCAAACGCAAGCTGTGGTGACAGGCCAGATCCCTGTCACTTATACTGTGTCTGGCCAAGGCAGTGGGACCACTCGAGTTGGCGAGACCATTCTTCAACCTGGGTGAGTGTCACGCTTCCCACTGGGACTCCATAGGACTAAAAATGGTCCTCCGTAGATGTTGCGAAATTGGCTGAATGTCGTTGATCGTGGAAAAAGAACCTGAAGTCTGAAAATAAATTCTTGTAGAGTCATAGATTGTGGAATTGCATGGCTGAGATCGCATCTGATACAGATGCCCAGGACTTGAACCAACCAGAGGTGCCAACCGGAAAACCGAGCGGTTGGGTCCGATACTGTTGCTGCAAACCCCTTGAATTATCAGGCCCCATCTTGACTTGGCACGTTGCCTCTCAGGTCGCAGTCAGTCCTTTTGTCGTCATGCCAAGGTTGTTGCCTCACCATCATGAGGTTTTCCCAGCCTCTCTTTTGGTGTGTGTAATCGAATGAGCTGAGTCTTCTTGTAAAAAAAAAAAAGAAAAAAAAAAGAGCATGTTTTTTTTGTTGTTTTATAGGTTATTTTGATTTTTTTTAAAAATTAATGTCATGATGATGTGGGGCCTGTTCTTTTTTTTTTTTTTTTAATTCGGGCCATGCTAATCTTCTCTGTATCGTTCCAATTTTAACGGATGTCCCTAAGGACTGATGTGGGGCTTGGCGTGAGCCGGGAAAAACTAGGGAAAAACTAAAAAAACGCGCTCTCATGGTTTGGCCATTCACGGGCACGGTTGACTGACCGGGGGCCGGCCAAGTTCATGGTACCGGCACTGCATGGCTAATTCCCCTGGAAGAGTGACAATTTGCCCCCGGTCACGTTCATGGTACGGGCACTGCATGGCTAATTCCCCTGGAAGAGTGACAAATTTGACACGTCACACACAATTCCTTCCTTAGTTTTCTGATCTGATCTGACATGTCTTCGTTCGTGACACTACAGTTGTCGGTGAGGATCGCACACCCGCCAACCAGATCGTGTGGGCGGTACGTGCTACCAAAGGGTCACTCACGGCGTACTCACACTAACAGTATCATGTCAAATGTATCTGACCGTGTTAACAGCCATACCTGGATGTATCAGGCCACAATTCCGTGCAGAAATACGTAAAAAGGTTGTAGTGTGAGCATGCCCTCCTCACACTGGGACTTTTTTTCCTACTCAGCTGTGGAGATAAGTGCGGTCAGTTACATCCGCCCTGGGCAGTAAATGCGGTGAGATTCATCGAGATATGTCCTAGTGTGAGTACGCTCTCAGTCGGAACGGGGCGCGGAAAGTGAACATATCGTTTGGCCGAGACGCCCACGCAACCAAATGGACCTGTAGGACTCCTTTTTTTTTTCGTTTTTTTCTGAAGGCTAATTGGCCCAACCACATTCAATCTAGCACAAAAAAATAAAAATATTAAAACAATCAATCTTGTGTCTACGTTGGCTCATCGCCTCTTACCCACAGCTTCTCTCCGAGCTTCTCTCCGAGAAACTGGCGTCGCTCCATTACACAAAACTGCACATGCATTTGGACGCTTTCCGGACCAGGTGCATTTGGACGAGTCCAACACTACGAGAATATCCGGCGAAGAAAGCGTCCTAATGCATGTGGTGTGTATGGTGTGGTGCAGCGAGGTCCACTGGCGAGAGGCGGGCAAGCGCGCTGCGGCTACCTGAATTCGGGCAGACTACCTCGCAGGGCAACAGCGCAATCGCTGCTCTATAAGAGCACTCTCCATACGCTACAGCATCGACTGCTACGTGCGCCTCCGTTCGAGTTGAACTGTGGCGGACGTCCTCTCGCAGTTGAGTCGCTCTACTCACACAGCTTCCACGTTCACAACTCTGTAACCGAAGGGGTGTCCGGTGTCGTGGGACCCCTACTGCCTTCATCGATCGACACAGGCGGTGCAGTCGTCGGGTTTTCATTCTGCTTTTGACTGCTGGCGACCAGTTTGACTTCGCATCCCTGACCTTCACTGCGAGGCAGTTTCAGAGGTTTTTTTCTCTACTTCAAATCCTCTTTCTCTCTCTCTCTCTCTCTCTCTCTCTCTCTCTCTCTCTCTCTCTCTCTCTCTCTCTCTTGTCGGGGCAATGTGGGCGCGTCAGGACGATGCTTCGTACCCTACCCAGAGCGGTAGTGGCGAGTATCTGTCTTTGTGACGCTTTGTGCGTGAGTTGCGGCCTACCTGTCAATCGCGTTGGTAATATGAGAGGCTAATGATTTCTCTTTCTTTGCCTCGGGTTGTCCGAATCATGTGAGCGTTCTGGGAATAATTGGTGGAAAACGCCCACTTGGAAAATTTGTTGGTCTTGCGCGCGCAAACTCTTTTCCCGTTAGGCAGGAAGGGCTCACGAGGTACACAGGCCGTCGGATGGGCGTATCAGCGTTTCGGGGGGGGCTGAGTTGCTGCGACTGTGTGTGTGTGTGTGTGTGTGTGTGTGCATGTCCATGTGCGTACGCGTGCGCGTTTACGGTGTGTGTTGTGGATGTTTGGCTGTACGAATCTACGAGACTTTCGCCGGTTTCCACCGATGTACAAGGTGGTCGAATCCCCGAGAGTGCCGACGGTCTGCCCAGCACGTTTGACTGATGGATAAGGACTCGCCACGTTGGCCAGAAGGGTTTGCTATCCCTAGGAGAGGTGGTGTCTCACTCGTTTGACTTTTTTTTTTTTTTTTTTTTTTGTGTGTGTGTGTGTAAGTTTTGTCATGTTTTATGCCGAGAAAGGAAGTATGACAGTGCCACACCGTTGCGTCGCGTTTGTCCGCTTCGTTGACTGTCTGATTTGACATGACGTATGGATCTTGACATCTCGTACGAGCATCAATCAGGGACCGTTTGTTCTTTTAGATTTGTATTGAATTTCTTCTCGCTCAATGTATGTAGTTTTCTCCTTATCTATCTCACCCATCCTCTCGCTACTTAATGCATGCGTAGTACGGGCTATTAGGGGGGGAAACACCAACCGGACTTTTTTGTTGCGGGTTGAAGTTGTCGATCTGTTGGTGTTGCTATTCTGAGGTCACGGTCAATCAATGCCGCTGACTGCTCGTTTGTGGCTGAAATTTCACGGCATTTCGATTCTGGTTGGAAATTACCGTCTCGCCGTGTCTGTTTTGTTCTTCCACCCGTGAATTCTTAATCAACGCCGTTGGTTGCAGGTAGACAAATAAGACCCAGCCTGTCAATCTGAGATAACGCGTTGAGGTGGGCGTGGGTGGGCTGTAGGTGGCTGTCGGTGTGTGGTGGGTAGGTAGGCGCGCAGGTGCGGTTGGGTAGGCGAATGGGTGTCGAAGCGGGGTGGGGTTGTCGAGGTGCAGATCGGTGGGTGGATGGGTGGATGGGTGGATGCTAGCGGCGCTGCAGGTGATTGTGTGAGTGGGTATGTGGGTGAGTCGGAGCGGATGTGATAGTGAGTGTGCATTCTTTTGTTCATTTTTTGTTTATCACACAAGTTGTCACATTCCCCGAATATAAGTACCTTTGATAATGAAAATGAATACAAATAATCTTTCAGGTACAGTGCAACGTTGAGTGTGCATTGCGTTTGCGGGGAGACGGTAGTTTCACTTCTCAGGGTGTATAGTCTTCAGATGTACCCCTGACCACCTTTGGTCACTGGGGTGCTATGATGCCTGGGTCGAGAGAGAGAGAAAGAGAGAGAGACGCAGAAAGACACAGAGAGACACACACAGACACAGAGAGACACACACAGACACAGAGAGAGAGAGAGAGAGAGAGAGAGAGAGAGAGAGAGAGAGAGAGAGAGAGAGAGAGAGAGGGATTAAATCGCCGTATGCGAACGCGTTTGTGGAGAGGTGCAGAATTATCCTGACACCTTGCACCTTGCCTCAAACGTGTCCAGGTTCGGGCATTAAAGACGGGATAATTGGTAGAAAGAGCCCACGCCAAAACTTTCCGGTTTTGGCTGCCCAAAGTTCGGCCGTTTGGTACTGCCGGCCCAAACAAGTTTCCCCTGGGTGAAAGTCGCCTTCGCGCCGTGGCCACATCTCCTGGGCCTGTTTTTACCGGTTCAAGAATTTTGGCGCTGTTTCTGTTCCAGATTCATGAACGGTAGGGCCCTTCTTTTTCAAAATCGCGTACGTGGGCCTCATTCGATACTTCAGCGTTACCACCCCCGGCCTCTTTTACATCAAAATGAATCTGGCGCTTTTATGCGCCAGATTCATGATCCGGTATGACCCTTGGAGGGTCGCGTGGGCCTGTAGTACCCCAGATGCAAGTCATTGGGCCGGTAGTACCAAACGGCTAATCTTTGGGCGGCCAAAACCGAAAAGGTTTTGGCGTGGGCGCCTTCTACCGATTATCCAATCAAAGACCGTTAGCACAGAACAATAATGACGTCAGATGGGTTTTACTGTCGTGAGCTTTGTTAACGGCACCCGCTTCACATGTTTAACATCTTATGTGGATTAGATTGAGCTTCATTTAACGTCCGGCTGTGTGTGTGTTGTCTTTTTGGCCGTTTAAGTTGCCTGTTTTTGTCGTCCTCGTTGTGTTGTTGTTGTGGTTGTGACTCGCGAGCCAACGCTGAATCAACGGCGCTGGATGCTTTGTGGCTGCAATTTAACAAAGATTGGCTCGCTCCACTAGTGTCCACATGCATAAAAGATGTATAAATATGCTGATGTACCTAGTATATGTTCTAGCGAAAGATTCTTTCTCAATTTGCGCTCATTGATGGTAATTGGATTGACTGATGAAGTGGTGGGGCGAGGCCCACTTGATGGTAATTGGACTGACTGATGAAGTCACCCACTGATTACCGTGGTTGCTGTGTAGATGAAGTCACGCACTGATTGCCGTGGTTGTTGTGTACCTGGTGTTGGCCTTTGCGGCAGTTGACGGTGGCTTCAGTGGAAGGAAGGTGGCGCTTTGCAGAGTTGCGTGCTCGCTTCCCGCTATCAATCAGGCGAAAGATCGTCGACTCGGTCAAGTATGGCGGAGCCCAAGCCCTGGGTTGACATGCCAGGCCTCCGCCGCATGAGCTGGAGGAAGATGGGCGCCATTGGCGGGGCTTTGGCCTTAGCGGGGATTGTGTTTGGGGGCCTGCTTCTTCTCGGCCTGCCCGTGCTCCTTATTGGCGGCTTGTTGCTTCTCCTTACGTCTCCTTGCACATGCGCCGTAGGCTGCTGCACCGCCCCGCTCTGGATCCCCCTGCTTCTTTTTGTCGGTATCCCGGCGCTCATCTTCTTCGTCACCACGGCCGGCATCACAATGCTCCTCACAGGTAAGCAAGCCAAGGCGCCCTTCGGCTCAGCTCAACTTTTGACAAGTGTAAGATTCCAAAATAGCGCGTCGTGGCAGGTTCACCCGCCAAAATATTGGCGGGGCTGAAGTTCCGTTGCAAAAAATGTATATATATATATTGTCACAAGAATATCAGAGCGCAAATGCGAAAAAAAGAAATGAGGAAAAAAGAAAGAAAAACAAGAGAAAATGAATTCAGTCTTTTTATCTTCTTCCTTACAACTCCCCCCCGGTTCAGAATCTCTTGCGTACATGGCCGCCCACGTGGATGTAGGTCGATAAGCGTCCCTCACCCCCGCGTGTCGTATCGACCCACTTGCCCACTGCCAGAAGGCAAAGAAGCAAAGAAAACAGGAAGGGAACAGCCAAATAATACAGAACAGGGGGCAACAAAACAGATCCCAGATGACAAGTCCCACATGCAAGCACCGCCCCCCATATATATCGTCACATAAATATCAGAGCGCAAGAGCCTAGCTTAGTGGGTACACCCATGAACTGTTGAAATACAGACCTGTGTTCGAATCCAGATGATAACTTGACAAGTAAAACCAACTACTAATAAATTGCTTGGGGCCGGTCAGCTCAATGACAATATCTCAAGGCCGTCGCCCTTTTTACAAAACAAAAAAGAAAAAACAAAAAAAAAAACAACAAAGAAAAACAAAAAAAATATTTACAAACATATATATATATATATCTTTCGTTGCAGCTTTAGAGGTCGCGGTCGTTCCACAGCAAAAAATATTCACAGGCGGGGGGGGGGTTCCCCCCGGTCCCACGTTCATGCGAAGATAGATAGATCTTCGGACCCGTACAACACTTTTTTTTTTTTTTTTTTTTCAAACAGATACTTTTATTACAAAATCAAATCGGAGTCGGGGATCCCACAATTCCACCCGGAGTTATCCTGGCAGCATCAGCCAGTTTAGCTTGAGGAGTAGGCTAGTCTAGGCACAGAGATGACCAGATCTAGGCCGATGTCCTGAAGCCACTCCCGTACAACATTTCTGCTGCCGAGCTAGCTTCGAAAACGGGGGCTGTTCCTGCAATTACCCCTTTTGTTAATTTCACCATTTCTTTTCGATTACGTTTTCTGTTGCAGTTGTCGATTGTCATGACTACTGGAGCATGGTCCCACTAGCAACGGGGATTGGATTGAGATCCTTAATCTGGGCGTGTTTTAGGCAGAGATGCAGAAAAGGAGTTCAATCTCGATTTCCTGCACTTGTCCACAAACGCGGCCAGATTAGGCGTTCAATAAAATCCTCTTTGCTAGTGGGACCTCACCCCTGATGTGTAAGCCTATACAGGGTATACAAACCATGTAAATGAAGTGTTTTTTCCATTTCCTTGTTTTTTATCATTTCTCGGCAAATGAGGTTTTTTTTTGGTTTATACCATTTCTCAATTCCTCCTGTATCCTTGTGCTAATCTTTTTGTATCGTTCTTGATTGTGGCCATTGTGTTTTGTTTTGTTTTTGTGGCCATTTCTAGATTTCTCGTTGCGTCCTTGCGCAGTGTGCATGTTAATATTTGTGTATCGTTCTTTTTTACCGACTATGCCGAAGGACCACATGATGGTGCATGTGTTTTGTACGTTTAGTATGGTGACCCAACTGGCCCACCTAAGTCGTTACGCCCCTGATCTGTCGGTACGCGAGCGCTAACACCACTGCTGGAAGCAGATGGATAAAGGTACAGTTTGCAACGATTATTGCACTTGGGGCACCCTACCTGGCCAGAAAGATGGGTTGTATACATTGCCCTAACTGCAATCGCAAAATGTATGTAGGGTTGGCCTCCGAAATTTAGTTATTCTATGGAATGCCGGAACTGCCAATTGCAAACTGAATCTTGGCCCGTACTACAGTTATAACTCATATTTTTGTGACTTCCGTGTAGTTTGCCCTATTTTGAATGACCTAGGTCCGGTCAGTCGAGTACTGATATCTTCGTTTTTCTTCTTCTTTGATGGGCTAGCTAAGCTATCTACTGTGTGTAGGTAGGGTTGCGTTTGTTTGGCGGCGGATTAACGTCTGTCTTTGTTCGGCGGCAGAGGGAGGCGAATAGTGAGCGCTAAATAGTGTTCCTTGGCGCTGGCTTTTAATGATAAGTGGGGGTGAGCTGGCCGAGCCAAGTTGATTGGGCGAGTAGGCGCAACGGAAAAATGCAAGGAAGAGGCGCATCATTACGCTGGCTTGCTGGTTGGGTGAAGGTGGTGCAGAAGAGGGACTAGGGGTAGCGGCGGCTTGTGTGGACCTGACCTGTTAGCCGGGCGGGTGTGTGACAGAGCTACGAACGGCTGTCTGACTGACAGGTGGGTGTGTGACAGAGCGAACGGCGGTCTAGTGGCTTACTAAACGGTTGAGTGACAGTGTAATCACAGAGCTACTGACGGTTGTGTGACAGAGCGAACGGCTGTGTGACAGGGCAAATGACAGATGTATTGGCTGTGTGACAGGCGGATGTGTGACAGAACGAACGGATGTGTGACAGGGCAAATGATGGAGTCACGGACTAAACAGTGACATTGCAAATGAAAGAAGGCGGGTGTAGGACGGAGCTGTGGGACGGAGAAAACGGTTGAGTGACAGAGCTTGGTTTCTGATAGATGCTGCAAAGGGTATTGAGATTGACCGGATGCAATGAATGCTGCCGAAGTGAGTGAGCAAGACCACACATAACGATGAAAATTATATGGTGAGGAGGAGATTTTGTCAGAGTAAATGAACGTTTCCTGATTCTGTGCGGGTTTCGCTAAGAACAACGATGTACTTACGTGCCTTTTGGATTGTGTTGTCGTCAACGTGCGCATGTTGCTTCGTGCTCCCCAGTGTTGGCAGGCTTGACGGGTGCGGCTGGGTGGTGGATCTACCGTTACAACCGGGGTCCGATGCCCCCGGGCGGAGATGCGATGCTGAGAGTTCTCGACCGTGTGAGAGGACGATCAAGGGAAGTGACGGAGAGGATCTCGAAGGTTGGACAGCAAGCAGCATCTCCTGCAGCATGAACCCATCGTCTTTTAATCGGACAGATTAATAAGCGATCGAAGAAGGAAAAAACACCAATGTCCGTGGCCGCGTCGTGAATCGCTAAGTGGAATCTGGTCGTCTCACGGGGCAAAACGTCAGAATTGGTTGATTGATTGATTCCTCGATTGAAGAAGAGCAGATGCGCGATGGGGAAGCCCGCTGAGCCTCGCAGGTTGGTCGACTGAAGGTCTATTGTTTGCTTTGACTCCGATCGTTGTCGGTCAGGTAGCAATGGGTGTACGGAAAAAAAAAGAAAAAAAATTGTTTTGAAAGCGTGTACGACACACGTGGCTGTGGGGAGAAGACGATGTGATCTGGAGGTGGGTTATTGAAGATCTGTCTGTTGACATCCACTCGGATCTTTGTTGGTCGAGGGATGGGTTTNTATTGAAGATCTGTCTGTTGACATCCACTCGGATCTTTGTTGGTCGAGGGATGGGTTTACGAACGGCGAAACCGAGGGTTTCCTGAGGACGTGCGATATGGCTGAGGGGACAACACAGTGGGATCTGGAGTCGGGTTTTGTAGTGCACTAGCGAGGCGGTCTTCAGCCGGTGAATGACCGAAGATCATGGAGATGATGATGGGAATCGCGAGAGCTCTTTTCTCTCAAGATTCTCTCACGATTCATTACCTTTTGGTGCATCAAGAACGGGGGTTAGTAGATATGGGCATTCAAACGTATATTCCAGAAATTATACCTGCTGATGATCAAACGGGATCTCGTAAAGGAAAATCATTTGGAGGAGGATTAAGTGAGGTGATGACAAGAAGGTATGTTTGATGAAGATGCTCGAATATACTGTAGTAGTACGCTAGTATGAGTACTTGGTCGATTATGTGATAGTCACAGTAGGATCTTGAAAGTTGAAAAAGACTCCCAGCCATCTGTGGGTGGAACCGGGACCTTGGGACCGAAGGCCCAAGGTCTCTAGGGCCGTTGGCAAGTATCCCAGGCCCCAGGGGGTGTGGGATCTAAAGAGCGTTGTGGTTCAGCAAAAAAAAAGGGAAGTTTGAAAATGGGGATGCATAGCGTTGCGGACGGCTTCACCTTGTTCGGGCATTCAATATCCCCTTTGGCGGCAGAGGACGAGTTTAAAACCCTATTCAGGCTGAGTAATCAATACTGTCTGGCTATCTCAAGGCCGTAAGGCGCTGGGCTAGTGGCAAGCCTCCTGATGAGACCGGAGCGCAGCCGGTTTATTAACGTAGAGGAATGCGTGTGCGATGATTCGAGCTGCTTGTACACGCTGGATTCGCTAATGGAATATTGTTTTTGCATGTAAAGAGCAATCCCGTCACCCTTTTCCAAAAACAACAAAAAAAAAAAAAGTATAGAGTGGCAAGAACGCCATATACGAGAAGTGCAAGTGGCGAAAAATTAGCAATAAACACCAGCCACTGGCAGCCAGCAATAAGCACTAGCGCTCCACTGCGCAACTCTTCATGTATGTCAACGCTTTTAGGGATCGTGTACATTCAAAATCGTGTTGGAGTGCAAAAATGCACCTGGTTCTGAAAGCGACCAAATGCGTGTGCGTGTGTATGATGAGTAGTGGAGCGAGGCGTTTTTTTTCTTTTGTCTCTTGGGTCAACTCCCCCTTCATCACGGTGATGTTGTCGATGACGCTCGGGAGGGATCGGTTTTGAGGGTGTGGTCCCTCTGTGAAGGAACCCCGGGGAGGAAGAAACCCTTCGCCCGCTGAAGCCAAGGGTAGCAGCAGCGTCTGTCACCCGCCGTTCCCACTTCCGAGGCCCTCAGCAACCGACACTGTCAGGAATTCAGTGCTCAGACTTGCCTGTCTTCCGAGTTCAAAAGGGAGAACGAAACAACAGAAAAATACGAAAAAAAAGGGTTGAGTCGATTTTAGACGTTTGGTCTGCAAGTGTGAGATGAGTAGGACTTTCAAGGCTCGTCCAGCAAGATCTCAGAAGAAGTAATAAAAAAAAATTAAAAAAAGTTGAAAAAATAAAATGTTCAAGGTTCGTCCAGCAAGATCTCAGACCTCCGAGAAAGTAATTAAAAAAAATTAAAAAAATTAAAAAAATAAAGGGAAACTACAAAATTGGGAAATACAGCTTTGGCAGTAATTGGTTTGCTTAGCGATATTGCAGGTAAAGGAACACAAAATACCCACATCATACACCAGTTCCCTGTTGCCAGTTCGAGACACCTTCGACGTTTTTTTTTCCCAGAATTAAGTTGGAAGCTAATTCCAATGGGTCAAGGCCTGCAAGGGTATTCAGACTGATGACTCACAAGGAGTCAGAAGGGAACTAAGTACCGCCAGTCACTCTCTTGTCTTGAACTAGCTTCAGACCGAAGCTGCAGAACTCCCCTTACAGGGCCAACATGACTGAAGGAGAGAAAAGCTCTGTTAATAAGATAAAGCTGGAGATCTCTCTTCTTGTTGCCGGTCATTGCTGAATTATAGACACCTGATTAACCATCCTACAATATGCCTCAATCTTTGCTGTCACCTTTGTGAAAATAGGATGTTTTGACTTGTCAGTTGCAGGAGGGCTTGCACAGAGGGTGAAGAGTTTTTGTTTTTATGGATCTGTTCGTCCAGCGCTTCCTGATCAGTCGCCCTGCCCAGCATCCTGTTTCTTCTACACTTGCCCCTTTCTCTCTTCTCTCTCTCTTTGACTTCTCTTTCTCCCTCACTGATTTTAAGTTCCTTGTACAGTGCCTTGTGTTCACGCTCGCCAGCACAAGTCTCTAGCCATGCTGCCAGCTAGCTTTCGGTATACACCCCTGCGCGGTCATTTGAATGGTTCATTGGTTCATGCATCTTGAGCCGGTGTGCTTGTGGACCACTGTCTCCTGCAGTGTTGTGGAGCGCCCCTGATTAGTGAGGTCCCCTCTTTTTCTTTCTTTCCTGCAATGTGAGTTAGTCACCTCCACGCATCTTTCCTTCCCGCAATGTGAGTTAGTCACCTCCACGAGTCTGCACAGGCAACACCCAAGGTTTCAATCTTCACTGATCTCTACTTGCACACAGTCAGATCGCCAAGACTGAGGAACTAGCTGCTTGACAGCTAATTCCCCCACGCCTGGTTGCAATGGAGGGAGTCCTTGTTCGCTCGCCTATGCCCCTCCCTTCATTCGGAGGCAGTTGCGGACAATTCGTAGGCCTCTCTAATAGTCCCTATCCTTCACTCTTCTCCTCCCTTTTGCCGCTCTCTTCACTCTTCTCCTCCCTTTCGCCGCTCTCTTCTTTCCTTCTTAAGATTGAAGGCAGCGTGAAGGGTTACAATGATCCTCCCTTCGCTCCCGAAACTCATGTGGCTCGTCGAGGTTATTGCGCTCGTAAAGGTTCACCTGTCATGCTGCTCCCCCCTGGGGTCCCCCCCCTTTGGCTCGTGCCGTCTCAACGTGCCAATTCGCCTCGCTGTCCCGCCAGTCTGTACGGGGTGTTTGCAGTCGGAAGGCGCCAGCTTGCGCTGTCTCAACGTGCCAACTTGCCTCACTTCCCCCCTGGTCTCCAGGAGGTGGTTGCAGTCGGAAGGCGCCAGCTTGTGCTCGGGTCGCCGCGTTCGCCTTGATCACTCTCTACTCGTCCGTAACTTGAACCCAGATGCTCTTGCCCACGAGTTGATCGCACACTGCCCAGCTTCTTGATAGCTCCCCTCTCAATTCTCCTCTTTCTCTCTCTCTCACTCTCTCTTTATGAGCCTGCTCAGTCTATGGTTCAAAAGCGACTACAAGCTCACCTCGATCAGAAGAAGAGTGTGCTTTGTAACCACCCGGCTGCACCTGAGTCTGGGTCGCCCTCATCACTCAGGTACTCGTTTGCTTGCTCCCCCAAATGAATAATCACCCCCGAAAACTCTCCTCCTTTTCCTTGGTCTCCCTGTAGTTCGTCTGAGCGTGCCCAGACGGTTACTCCTGGCTTGCGAGGTGCTCTTTTTTTCCGGCCTAAAAATCCCCTTTGCCGTCCGACAGGGATGTGCCCTTCAGGCTGACCGGCTCACTCAGCCTTTGCCTGATTTGCCTGTCATTATTCCTCTGGTATATGCACGTGGCTTTAAGTGATTGTCGTGATGTCTGCCGGGTGCATGGCTGCGGCCTGATTTTCTGGACTGTGGTACTTCTCAGGCCCTTTGCCCCCATCCGCCCCCTTTGGACTGTTGTGCGAATGCAGTCATGGCGCTTTCCCTGCGGTAGAGGCGGCCTCTTGGCTTTCAGGTGCCTGTGCCTGCATATTCAGCTCAATAATAGATAGAGCCTGCTGGTACCTGTTCTGCACGTGGTCCAACTCCTCGAGAAATTTCATACGCATACATGTAGTTTGGGCCCAGATAGCTGTGGAAATGTTGGAGTTGCGTGCACCCCTCATGTCCGGTCATACTGTCAACCAAATTTGGCCTCCCTCTTGATAATCTGGGGCTGCAGGTACCTCTCTTCACATAGTCGTACCTTAACCGCATCAGCCCGTCCTCATGTTCGCATTTGCCGCGAGAAGCCTCTAGTCAAGGGTAGAATGTTGGTGAGGAAAACCGGCAATATGGGTCCACAACCTTGGAGAAAGCTTTGATTTGGAGTAATGGTCTCAGGAGTCGGTGTCTCGATGTCGTTGGCTGACAGCCACCTCATAGGGCGGGTAATTCAAGGCTCGGTTGATAATCCATAATCAGCTTTTTTTTCCAGATTTTGGAGCATTCTTTAGCCGTTAAAATCTGGCCCCAGTCAGGCCATCCGTGAGTTCAGGCAAAATTAGGCCCTCCGCTGTTATCGTTCTGTGTTGACTTATTGTCGACATTCCGGTGCTGTGTTCATACGTCTCGCTTGTTGTCTCTTCTCAGACAATAATCATGGTTACCACTTACAACTTACCAGTGTTGCTGAGTGTTGGCCCGGCGTCAACTCATATCTTGAATCAACCAATGACATGGTTACCACTTACAACTTACCAGTGTTGCTGAGTGTTGGCCCGGCGTCAACTCATATCTTGAATCAACCAATGACCCTTGTCACACGTGTCCCCGTTGTCCTTTGCGTAGCATAATTCAAGGGTAGGTCACACACAAAGCTGGGACATTTGGGGAAATACTAAAACAACAAGAATCAGGGTGGTCGAGTATGGGAACATAATCTGGACACAAATGGAAAATTAAGAGATTTTTATACTCCTTTTCATTATTCTTTACTGTATTTATGACTTTTGATATAGCCGCAAAAATAATTAGAACACCACCTTCGACATGAGACCACAAAATCGCTTGTGCGGAGTCCTGTGCATGCGGTCAAGGTCGGACGGTAGTGGGCCTAGTGGCAGTGAATATAAGGTCAAAATAGTTCCTTTAAGGGAGCTCCGAAATAAAATGAAGTAATATGATATTTGGTATATTTGTAGGTCTAGTATACATGGTTACGGGGACGGAAAACGGGGTTCAGTTTGGGCGCCCTGTTTTTCCGTCTCTCGCCTGACATGTTTGATGTCAGAAAAGGTTAGCATTACTTGACGTAGGTCCATAATCCCTCCATTCCGGGAGGAGGACTGGATTTTGGCCGCCCGACACCACTAGCAAAGAGGATGGGATCAAATTTATTGAGATGTGCAGGAAATCGCTATTGAACACTATTCTGCATCTGTGCTTAAAACACATCCAGATTCAGGAGCTATATCCTATCCTTGTTGCTAGTGGGACCTCGGCAGAGGGGTATCAGTGTGGAGAGTTTTTTGGTGAGTTGTAAACCTGTTTTTTTTTTTTCTTTTTTTTTTTGTTTCTTATTCAAACTATTTATATTAACCAGAAGAGGCCGGGGACCTCACAATTCAACCCGGGGGTATCTGACAGCATCAGCCAGCTTAGCTTACAGGCCTTTGCCTGCTGAAACGCAAATCTGCTAATTTCCTGTCTCTAAATCAAATTTCGACCTGAGCTATAGTTGCCTGTGGGACCCTGTTGCTGCAGAGCCAGCTTGTCTTGAGAAAAAGTTGTAGCGTGGAGTTCTATGTTACTCTCCGTACAGATACGGGCCGTCCGTACGAAGCATACGGCCGTACGTACGGCCCCCCCGGCGGCCATACGGGCCATATGTACGGCCGTACGAGGTGTTTCGGCGGCCTTTCCGGGCTGCGATCGGTACTGAGGGGGTGGGGGGGGTGTGCATGCTGGGGGGTATGCCCCCGAAGTGAAAAAACAGAAAAAAAAAAAAGTAGGTTTAAGCCTTAAGGGGTGTGTGGGGGCTGTCTCTTATACACATCTAGATGTGTATAAGAGACAGACGTACGGCCGTACGAGCCCTTTCGGCGGCCTTCCAGGGTCGGGATCTGGCATCTGGTGGGGTGGGGGGGGTGTGCATGCTGGGGGGTATGCCCCCGAAGTGAAAAAACAGAAAAAAAAAAAAGTAGGGGGGGGT